GCCCATCCATCGGCTCAGGCCCCAGGCGTGGGGAGCCCGCCCTCTGCACCTCAGTCATCCTGCCCGTGATTCTGTCTGGGAGCCTGCGGGCCCCGTCAGGGGGCAGTGTGGCCCGGCCCCCGCCGTCCGCAGACAGGGGGGCTTCCCCCGAGATCACACCCACTTCCCACTGCCCATCACCCGCCTGAGTGAGACCCTCACCTCACCTGCCTCACTTGGCGGTGGAGGGCCAGGCCAGGTGCCCTCCACCCCCCACCCCGCCCCGCACACACCCTGTCCGGCCAGCAGCCTGCCTCCCCCTGCGCCAGCACCCTTCCCAGAAGCCCCGGCAGGGCCAGGAAAGCCTTCTCTCTGAGGCCCTCCGTCCTCCCTGCCCTTTCCCAGCCGTCTCCACCGTCTCCAGGGCAGAGCCCGGCCGCCGCACGGGCCCCGGGCTGGGCCTGCCTCCCCCGTGGGCGCTGGGGGCACCGTGGCATGGTGGGCAGCCGGTGTCCGAGCCTCTCTCTCCGTTCACCTCCCTCGTCGGTCACCCCAACAGGACCCTCTGCCCTCGTGCCCACAGGGCACCGCCCAGCCCCTCTCCCCGCGCGGCTTCTCCGGTGCCCGCGGGCGTCTGCCCTCCACACAGATTCCACGGCTGCTTCCCCCTCACAGGCTCCGTGTCCTCTGAGCCGTGGCCCCTCTTCCCGCAGCCACGGCAGCGCTGCCCCTGGCGGAGGAGAGCAGCCCCCTCCCCTACAGGCACCGCTCAGCCGCCCCCTCCCGGACCCTGGGCCTTCCCTCCGTGGCTCCGTCCCAGCCTCGCCTCCGTGGACTCTGTGTCCCGCCAACCTGCTGAGTCTCCTTCCGGGTGCCCTGTGCTCCCCGGGAGGGTGGTCTGCGTCCCTTTCTCCCCCAGATGGTGCTCAGCCCGGCCCGGCGCCCTCACGTGGAGCAGCGTGTCCGCGTCCACCGGGGGGTTCAGCTGTGAGCTCCCTGAGCAGGAGAAACCACGTGCACCCCTCCCACCGCGCTCCCCGTGAGCATGCACCCCACATCCTCCCCCCACATCTCCCAGGCCCCGGGGCCCGCTGGGGGCGGGAGGGCCCCAGCCCTGGGCGTCTCCCCAGTCACCAGCCTGTCCCAGGGCAGCATTACCTGCTGGGGTCCCCGGGCCGGACGGGAGGGGCAGGCGCCCCCACACGGGGGTCAGCCCCCGCAGAAGGCCTCCTCCCACGTTGGCCCAGACCTGGGAAGGGCCAGGGACGCGTGTCTGCGGTCACTTTCCAAACAACCTCCAGCTGCCCGTGGTGCTGCGTGGACGCTGGTCCCAGACGGGAAGGCCCTCACCCCACGTGGAGCCTGACCCCAGGCCGGGGAGCGGGGTGCGAGCGTCCAGGGCCCCCTGGGAGGCGCGGCCCCTGGTGCCCGCTGCCCCCGGTGGCAGTGGGAGGGAGCTCCGGCCGCCAGGGCGCTGGCAGCGGGCATGGCCCAGGGCCGGCGGGCAGCAGTCACGGCACCGCCCGCCGTGGTCGGTGGAGTCACAGGTAGGACAGCCCGGCCGGCGGGCGAGGCTCTATGGCTGAGCATCGACAGGAACCAGGAGGTCCTGGGTTGGATTCCGGGTCAGGGCACAAGCCTGGGGTGTAGGCTCCAGCCCCAGTGCAGGGCGTGCAGGAGGCAGCCGGTCTGTGATTCCCTCTCGTCATTGGTGCTTCTCTCTCTCCCTCTCTCTTCCTCTCTCTCTAAGCAAGTCAATGAAAACCTGTTTTGTTTTGTTTTTGTTTTGTTTTGTTTTATAAGCTTTGGGATTTATTTTAAATCCCTTTTGTTCAACAACATGATTTTTTAAATATATATATTTTATTGATTTTTTACAGAGAGGAAGGGAGAGGGATAGAAAGTCAGAAACATCGATGAGAGAGAAACATCGATCAGCCGCCTCTTGCACACCCCCTACCGGGGATGTGCCTGCAACCAAGGCGCATGCCCCTGACCGGAATCGAACCTGGGACCCTTGAGTCCTCAGGCCGACGCTCTATCCACGGAGCCACACTGGTTTCGGTGAAACCTGTTTTTAGGAAGGAGGTGGGAGAGGGTGCCACCAAGGCCAGAGCACGTCTCCCCAGCGGGGGTTTCTGTGCAGAAACTGGAGCTACGGGGCCCCCTGAGGCCCGCCTGGGGTCTCAGACGCCTCTCGGAGCTATTTTCCTGTTCTGAGCCGTGTCCGCTCGGAGCTGTGCCATCGGCAGGTGACGCTCTCCTTAAAGGGGGCGGGGGGGGGGGGGAGGCTGATGCTGAGGAGCCCGTGACCTTCACCAGGGCCCCCGCATCCTCCAGGCCCAGCCTTTGGTGGTGGTGGTGGTGGTGTGTGTGTGTGTGTGTGTGTGTGTGTGTGTGTGGGGGGGTGTCCATGCTCCCTAAGGATGCTTGGCTGCCGTTTTGTAAAAGCCTGTGAGCCATTTCCAGTGTCTGTCGCTCCGGTGAGAACGGTCCCAGCTGCAGCAGGGAAGGGTTTATCAGAGAATCCAGACGGGCCCCGCTGAGGCTGCGCACCGCGTCCCGATGGGGCGATGGCGGCTCTGAGGAGCGGACGCAGCCGGAGCCGCAGCCCTGCACACGCTCCGAGGCCACCGCCGTCCGAGCCGGGGACTCGGACGGGAGCCTCCTGTGGATTAGGCACCGGCGCCCAGCAGGCCCGTCTGGGGGTTGATGGTTAAAGGGGCTGTGAGCGGCCGAGGGGCCTCGGAAGCCACTGTCTGTAGGGGAAACGCACCCGAGTTGCCCTGGGTTACGGGTGGCGTCCTGCAAAGGACATGGGACTCACCCGGGAAAGGATGGGCAAGGGCGTTGCAGCGCCAAGACCGGCCCCCAGGGGGCAGCACGCACCCCGCACACAGGCCTTCCCCGCCTGTGAGAGCCTGGGGCACAGCCTAAGGGTGATTCTCCACGCCATCTGCGCCAGGGGGCTGCCCCGGGGACCGGGGAAACCATCGCAGTTTCTAAAGCCGAGCTGACCCCGCCCCTGCCCTTCCCTGCCAGCGTGGAGCACGAGGCTGTGAGGACACAGTCCTCAGCGCGCACACGCTGACTCAGGAAGCCCATCCGGCACAGGAGCAAACAGGACGCCGGAGAAGGAAGTGACGGGTCTTTCCTTTTTAAGTATGTTGTTACTGGTTTTATTTTATTCCGAGAGGAAGGGGGAGGGAGAGGGAGAGAGAGAGAACCATGGGTCAGCTGCCTCCTGCACCCTCCCCCCCTCCCCCCGCCCTGGGGATGGAGCCCACAGCCCGGGCCTGTGCCCTGCCTGGGATGGAGCCCGGGGCCCTTCAGTCCGCAGGCCGAGCCGCCCGGCGGGCCCCACGTGCTCCTGCCCCCCGGGGAGCAGTGTTCCCGGTGCAGCCCCGAGCAGGCCGGTCAGGATCCCAGCCTTCACCAGTGCGGCCAGGAGCGAACCCTCAGGCAGAGCTGCCTGCGTGGCCTGGATTCTCTCTATTTATTTATTTATTATCTTTGCCGAGGAGCAGTGGGCGGGCGGCATTGCCCCGGGCTCGGCGTAGCCAGAGGCTTTGTCCATCTGGAAATGCTCCCACAACCAGCCGGCCGGCAGCATGGGTCCCCCGGTGACGGTGAGACTTTAAGATCCACTCTCCGGCCGAAACCGGTTCGGCTCAGCGGTAGAGCGTTGGTCTGCGGACTGAAGGATCCCAGGTTTGATTCCGGTCAAGGGCATGTACCTTGGTTGTGGGCACATCCCCAATGGGGGGTGTGCAGGAGGCAGCTGATGGATGTTTCTCTCTCATTGATGTTTCTGACTCTCTATCCCTCTCCCTTCCTCTCCGGGCAGCTTTCCAGCCTCCACACCGTGTGTCCCGGGAGTTGCTGAGACCGGGGTCTTTTCACTCCTGTTAGTCACTAACCTGACAGGGGACCGCCCGCCCACACGCCCGCCCAGCACTCCGGTCAGGCAAAGGCCAGCCGCACACCGGACCTCCGTGGTTCCAAACATGTTTCCCCAGTGACGGTGTGCGGCTGGTGGCTCCCTCCCTCCCACCTCCCTCCTCCCTCCGGCCTGCCCCGTGCACAGCTGGCCGCACAGCTGGGATCCCCGGGAATTTCCAGTCTGGCCGTGGGCATGGCGCCCGGAGATCCTGTGATGGGGTGGGCGTGCCTACACCGACCCAGATTCCTCTGCCCTGGAATGCAGGCCTGACCCACCCCGGCCCCAGGCGCCCTCCAGCCCTGAGCCCCAGCCGTGTCCTGGGGCCCCGTTCCTGAAAACACTGGCTGGTGTGGCTCAGTGCTGAGCGTCGACCTGTGAACCAGGAGGTCACGGTTGGATTCCCGGTCAGGGCACCTGCTGGGGTTGCGGGCTCCATCCCCAGCAGGGGGCGTGCAGGAGGCAGTGGCCTATGATTCTCATCATTGAAGTTCCTCTCTCCATCTTTCCTTCCCCTCTGAAATCAATAAAAATATATTTGCAGAAGAAGAAGGAAGAGGAAGAAGAAGAGAAGGAGGAGGGGAAGGGGAGGAAGAGAAGGAGGAGGAGGGGGAGGAAGAGAAGGAGGGAGAAGGGGAGGGGAAGTGGGAGGAAGGGGAGGAGGAGAGCTCTGTGCCCACAGGCGGGAGGTCAGAAGGGAATTGGGTGGTTGGTCACTGGGTTACTGGTGAAATTGCCTGAGTACAGAGACAAAGGGCCGTTGGCACGTTGGTTCTGGAAATGGGGCTCTCCCTGGAGAGCAGGGTGCCGTGACCCCAGGTGGCCTGCCGGGGCCTCTCCCCGGCCCTCACCGTCCCGTCCGGTGGTCTCTGCCTGGAGCTCACAGGTCCCCGGGGTGCCCGGTGCTCGCTGGGCCGTCCCGCCTCCCAGCAGACCGCGGGCGGCCGCGGGCCGTGGCGACACCATCCCGTCCTCGTGCTGAGTGAGTCAGGCCTGCGCCCCGCCCCACACCCACGGGCCCTGGCCACAGCCAGGGAGCACGCCTTCCCGGCGTCAGGTCCGCGGAGGGGCTGTGTCCGTCCTGGGAGCCGGGCCGCCGGCTCTGAGCTGCCCCCGGCTGCTGGCAGGGGTGGCCCTGAGGGCGGCCCGCCGTGGCACCGCGGACGGTCCTGCTGCAGCTGTGGCCCTGACCTGAAGCTTCACGTCGTCATCTCTGCTCCGGCTGGCAGCGGAGCCGGAGGGGAGCGCAGGTGAGCTTCCGGCATCCTCCCCAGCCTGCCCGGGGGCCCTGGCCTGGCCCCAGCTCCGGCACGGCCACACGGGGTGTGGGGAGGGGTCCCCGCGCTGTGCCGGGGGGGGGGGCTCGGGGTCCCCCGTGCTGTGCCGGGGGGGGGCTCGGGGTCCCCCGTGCTGTGCCGGAGGGGGGGGCTCGGGATCCCCCGTGCTGTGCCGGGGGGGGCTCGGGGTCCCACATGCTGTGCGGGGAGTGGGGGGGGCTCGGGGTCCCACGCGCTGTGTGGGGAGGGGGGGGGCTCGGGGTCCCACGCACTGTGCGGGGGGGGTGGTGTGGCTCGGGGTCCCACGCGCTGTGCCGGGGGGGGGGGTGTGTGTGGCTCGGGGTCCCACGCGCTGTGCCGGGGGGGGGGAGGGGGGGGGGGGGCGGCTCCGGGAGAGGGCGCTGGGCTGAGGAGCAGACCGAGGTGCTGCTTCTGAGCCAGCCAGGCAGGCGGCTCTCAGAGTCGCCCGGCAGGTCACCTAGAGCCGGCCCGGCGGAGCCGACCGGAGCAGGAGCCGGACGGGCCTGTTGGGGCAGAGGCTCACTCCGGCTCAGCCTCTCCCAGGGATCCAGGCTGTACTGGGGGGCGGGAGGGGGGAGTCTCTCTCCCCCAGAGGTTTCTCCGCCCCCAGGTTGGCCTGCCTTTTATATATTTACTTTTTAATTGATGTCGGAGAGGAGGGGAGAGGGAGAGAGGGGGAACACCCATGATGACAGGGAATCGCGGGCCGGCCGCCTCCTGCACGCCCCCTGGGGCAGGATCCCTGGCCTCCTGCACGCCCCCTGGGGCAGGATCCCTGACCGGGAATGGCACTGTGACCTCCTGCTCACAGGTCCGCCCGCCGGGGGCTGACGTCTTTGTTGTGGGCACAGCTTGGCGTCTGGAGCGTCTCCAGCCCCACCCCGCCCGGGGGACCAGCCTGGCGGCAGGAGGGCGGCCAGGGCCCCCTGGAGGGACCCTTTGCCCCAGACGGTTGCAGTCCTGAGCTCCCAGGGTCCCAGGGGGACAGCCCTCAGGGGCAGCTGCACTCTGACCAGGGGTGCTGATGCTGAGGGGACGGCAGAGACCGTTCCCCGTGTCAGTGTGTGCTCAGGCCCATTAAGCCCACGGTCACCAGCAGGAGCCGCGGCCCCTGGCGGGCCGACCCCCGCCCAGGCCCCCCGCGTCCCAATGGGCTCAGGCAGCCTGGCCCAGCCACACAGGAAGGAGCAGGTGCGGCTCCAGGAGATGCATCCTTCCCCTGGGCCCGTGGTCGGCAAGCTCACTAGCCAGCAGAGCCAAAAGTCAGCAGGACAGTGATTGACATTTATTTTGAGAGACAAATTTTTCAAAATCAAACTTTTTCCAACTCCACTTCTTCAAAATAGACTCGCCCAGGCCGTGGTGTTTGGGACCCACAGCCGGTGATGGGCAGGGGGTGCGAGGCTAATGACCAGGCACCAGCACCCAGGCCATCCTGGGCATTCCTGGCGGCAGCAGGGTCACAGCACCGGTGAGGGGGTCGGAACCGGACCGGAGTCCAGCCCAGGGGCGTAACCCGTCAGCACAGGGCCCGTGGGCCTGGAGGCTGAGGGGGGCCGGGGTGGGGCTGAGGGGGGCCGGGTGGGGCTGGGAGGCCCTTCAGCGGGAGGCTGACCACGGGCACTGCCTTGGTCCCGAGAATCACCCGGTTCCTGATGCCCGGTCGCTGGGTGGACGTGGTGCCTGCCCTGTTTTCTGGAAGCCCAGTGTGAGGAGCACTCTCCCAAGGAAGGGTGCTGCCCACTGAGGCTCCCTCCTCCCCCCTCCTCCCTCCCCTATCTCTCCCCCTCCCTCCCTCCTCCTCTGCGACCCCTCCTCTGCCTGGTTCTTAGAAAGAACCAGCAGGAGAGCGGAAACCGCCCACCTCTCTGTCTTTTAAAAATGTGTCTTTTTCTTTTCTCTTAAAAAAAATATTTTTATTGATGTCAGAGAGGAAGGGAGAGGGAGGAGATAGAAACATCAATGCTGAGAGAGTCCAGGATCAGCTGCCTCCTGCACACCCCCCACTGGGGATGGAGCCCCAATCCCAGGCCTGTGCTCTGACCAGGAATCGAACTGTGACCTCCTGGTTCAGAGGTTGACAGTCACCCTCTGAGGCGTGATGGAGGATGGAGGAGGGAGGATGGAGGAGGGAAGATGGAGAAGGGAGAATGGTGCCCACACGGAACAGCACCGTGGCATCCTGCGTGTGTGTGCGTGTGCGTGTGTGTGTGTGTGTGTGTGTGTGTGGAGGGGGGGGCAGAGCGGGTCTGCCTTGGCGTCCGGTCCCGTTGGGCTGTTGACTTTGTGGAAAAGGGATTCCGAGGTTCGAGTCCAGGTGACGTGAGGGCACGTTTGTGACGGCTGGGACAGCAAGACAGCGGAAAGGCAGCGCAGGCTCGTTGTTGTCATTGGGTGTTGTCATTGGGGTGTTGTCATTGGGTGTTGTCATTGGGGTGTTGTCATTGGGTGTTGTCATTGGGGTGTTGTTACTGGGGTGTTGTCATTGGAAGGCCAGCGTGGAAGGTCAGTCGAGGGTGGGTGGGCAGGCTCAACACCCATCTCAGATGGTGGTTTAAGAGAAACGGAATTTATTTAAGGGAAGTGGGGGGGGGATATGCATGGGAAGGGCTGCCCAGCACCGGCCACGGGGGTGGGGGGCGGGGGAGGGACAGAAGCACCAGCAGAGCCTGGTGGCAGCTGTCCGCTCACCGGAGAGTCAGAGAAAAGGGGGCTGGGGGTGGGCTCAGGGGTGAGCCTGGAGGAGCTGCCACTGCCCTGCCTGTGGCTCCCCGTGGCTGGCTCCCGGGGTCCCTCAGTGTCTAGCAGGGGAGACCTGGTGAGCCCCCAGGAGGGAGAAAGCGGGCTGGGCTGTCACAGGACGGGGATCCATCAACAATGCTTGGAGCGCTCCGAGTCACGCGTTATTCACCGGGGGCTCAGAGAACATGGATTCAAATTCTGAGCTGAGCTACAAGCAGAACTTCCCTTCTTAGAGAGCCAGCCCAGCGTGTGCTCAGTGGTTATCGCGCTGAAGCTGCTGGCCTTGAAAAAACACAGCTCTATCCAACTAAAACACGCCAGGCATGGCACTAATCTCTGGCCTACAAGGTCAGAGGGCTAGTTTATCTTCCTTGTTATTCCAGCAGGCTAGAGCAGCTGGAAAGCAAAGTTGTTTATTCGTTTGTTTGTTTGTTTGTTTGTAGAATAGAGGCCGTCTAAAAAACAGCAGAGAATTCCAAACAGAAGTTTTACAAAAGAAGGGTTGGCCTTCCCGGGGCCTTTAGGGGCGATCTTAGGGCAGGAAGCCCGGAGGGGCCCGTTTCCGTGGATTGGTCAGCGCCAGTCATTGCAGCTGGGGCAGGGGGTCGCGCCCCCAACCCTTCTCTCCCCCCCCTCTTCCCCACCTCTTGTGGCTCTTCTGGGCCTGGAGTGGGAATGCAGGGCAGGTTCGGTATTGTCATTGGGGTGTTGCCGTTGGGGTGTTGTATTGGGGTGTTGTCATTGGGGTGTTGTATTGGGGTGTTGTCATTGGGGTGTATCTGTTGGGGTGTTGCCGTTGGGGTGTTGTATTGGGGTGTTGTCATTGGGGTGTTGTATTGGGGTGTTGTATTGGGGTGTTGTGTGTGGAAGGCCAGGCCAGCATGGAAGGTCAGCAGGCGGTGGGCGGGCAGGCTCATAAGCTGTCTCAGACTGTGGGTAAAGAAAAGCAGAATTTATTTAAGGGAAGGGGCGGGGGTGGGATATGCAAAGGAAGGGCTGCCAGGCACCAGCCACGGGACTGAAATGAGGGAAATGAGGGAAGTGAGGGAGGCCAGGGGGCAGCCCCGGGGCAGCCCCGGGCACTGGGGCTCCACCCTCACGTGCATTCCTGGCCGAAGCCCATCAGGGTGGGTCTGGGCTGAGCTGGGCTGAGCTGTGGGGGATGGGGGTGGGGTGGGGGGCTCAGGTGCCTTCAGGGCGGCCCAGTTCCTGATGTCCAGCCAGCTTTCCCAGTCCTGTCCTCCTGTGGGGAAGCCTGCATGTGGCCCTGAGGGTGGAATTGCCCGCGGGCCTCACAGTTACCTCCAGGGAGGAAAGGTCAGGAGGAGGTCAAACCGCAGGAGGGGTGACAGGCAGGGGAGGACAGGCCCCCGGGGGCCCATCCATCCCAGTTCCCCATTACCCTTGCCGAGGACTTTCCCAGTTTAGGGTCCGGTGCCCGGTGCCACCCGGACCGGCGGCCAGAGCAGCGTCTCGGTGATAATGGGCCTCCGGGGCTGCGGGGACACTGTTCCCCCCTCCCCGAGGACGAGGACGGGGTCATCGTAAGCCTCTTATCTGTCCCCTCGCTGTAGGGAGCCTGGCTATCACCAGCCCCAGGGAGGGGCCCGCCCTGGCCTCCGGGTCTGGCCCGTCTTCCACCAGGCCTCAGGGGGCCCCTGGGTGGTGACGGCCTTAAAGACGAGAGGTTTGGGTGACAATCCCGCCCGGGCGCTGCTCAGGCAAGGTCCCTCCCGGCCAGCGGGGCGTCTGAGCCCCAGCCCCAGGGAGGCCCGAGTCCCCACGGATCAGTGGGGTGCCGCGGTCCCAGCACAGCTCCGCTGCAGCGCTGAGCCAGGTCTGACTCCAAAGCCAGTTTTCTCTGCCAGAAGGTAAGGCTGCCGGCTCCCTCAGGCCTGGCCGGACACGCTGCCCTCAGCCCAGCTCCAGGCCCCGGGCTGGCCCCGCTGTGGCTGCCTTTGTGCGGGAAGGGGGTGCAGACCGGCAAAATCTGCTCTGTGCACAGAGCTCAGCTCACGGGGGTGCACCTGCCTTATTAACCTGGCTCACCCCCGTATCTCACGATCAATTCCTCTTTAAATTAAGTGATAGGCGCTGAATTCCCACTGGAGGGGAGGGCAGCTGCTGTCCCCAGGGCAGTGCTCTGCGCGGGCACCTGCACTCTCCGGGGACGTGGGCTCTGAGAGGTGGGGGGCTGACAGGTGGGACAG